CCGTGCACACACGGAGAGCCCAGATTTTCATCGGCTGCAAGGAGCAGCTGCCTGACTTCGCCAGGTTTCAGGCAAGGTGCTTTTAAATGGCCCACCCTGGGTGGGGGAGCTTGCGCTCAACACTTGAAGTCCTGGGATATGTAACACTGAAATCATGTAGAAAAGTGTATTTGCAGGCATTACTAACCACTTCTAAAATAGTCTTTGTTGTTTAGATTCTTCCTCCCTTCCTTTCTTCACCCTCTGCTGTTTTTCTCTTAGCTTCAAGTGGAGCCAGAGGTAACAGAGGGACTGCCTTGCTGGTTTTCCACCAATATAAACAACCACCGATCGGGAAACGCCGCCGTCTGGTTCGTCCCCGCTGCAGAGCCAGCAGGGGCCGCTCATCCCCCAGATGACTCTTCCTTTAGCTCCTTACGGATTACAGCCGGCCAGGCCACAGACTACACCAAAGAACCGGCTACTCATCAGATACAAATGGATCCTGCGGCCCTTTGGTCATAATCCCAGGCTGCAGAGTCAGCAGACCTGGGCCGCAATCCTGTTTCCAACGACAGCTGACTGCCCAAACACGGGGCAGGCTGTGTCCCGGGATTACGTGAACTGATGCACAGTCCCGGCTGTCACCACCACCACCACAGTGCTGCCGGTGCTGGCACCGCCAGGGACAGCAGAGTCCTGAAGATGTCTTCAGTGGTGGCAACGGGGACCTATGTCGTGAACTGAAGAGTGATTTTCCAGAATGGGTGGTACCAGGGAGGCCACCCTGGCCCGGGAACTAGACGAACCGGGTCTTCCTCTTGCCTTTGTTGCTACACAAGTGTGTGTTCGTGCCATGATCGCGGACTAGCTTAAGCCAGCAATCTCTCCAGGCCTCCTCCATAAAAAGGAATAGAATTACCTACCTCACAGGGCTGTGACAGAGATGAAAGAGATCACGAATGAAAAACTAGCACAGCACCCAGCTCATTGATTTATTTGTTTGGCTGTTGTCACCATTACCTATAACCTCACTGACTCCAAAGAGCCTAAGTCCTTAGTAGGAGGTAGGGGGAAACGTGTGTGTGTGTCTGTACGCAAAGACTAGAATCCAAACACAGAGTTGAAATTATTTAGGGACCTTTAATTATTTATCGCTTTGTTGGCTTCCATATCAAATTAACGAGCTTAAGGCCTGATGTCAAATTTTAAATGCCGTATATCCAACTTTGTTAAAAGGTACCAGTTGAATTCACTTTGGATGGCTTTAAGTTTTCCTGCAGTTGGAATAAAAGTACAGTAAAATTAAAGTCTGAGGAGCCACAGAAAGCCTGAGAGCCAAAGAAGCCATCCACAAGCTACAAGTTTTTCAGTGTGACTTTGGTCTTAAAAGTGCCATTACACACTCATTATAACATCACCCTGTGTTTGCAAAATAAAGCATGATGCATTATGGAACTGGAGAAGCTAGTGCTTGAGACACTGTCACAGTGCTTTAAATAATTTTGCTAATTCTTCCCTATTTTGATTAATCAATCACCTTTTTCTCCCAGGTTCCCCCAAGCACTTCCTCTTTCCATGAGAAGCATCCTTTTTATTCTTTGAGAAGCATCCTGCAAACTCTCACATTTCTACTGAAATAAATTCACGTGACGTTATTCACAATCCCCCATATATTTTTTGTACACATTAACTCAATTGTGTATTACTCCAAAATAAGTGTTTATAACATAGGAAGGTGAGAAGCCACATCAAAAGTGACACGGAAGTTGCAACATGACAACATAATGTCACAATAGTGATAGAGCTTTGTTTGGCATTGACAGGCCTAATTTTAAAATCATGATATGAGCCGGAAGCACCAACTTATATATTAGAAGGTATTATTACTTTCTGAAATGACACATTTTTAATCTAAAGAGCAAGTAATTTTCAAACTGTGAAGAAGGGCTGTTACTCCACAGAAACACTTAACATCACCTTCCATACTGTGTGCGTGTGTGTACTTCTCGTGTCTTCTTTGGAACGCAGCCTCCATGAGAATAAGGATTAGTTTCCTCTGCTGTTGACTCCCTAACACCTGAAACAGTGGCTGCCATGTAGGAAGTATTTAAAAATTGTTTGTGAATGAATTCCAATTTCTTTCAGTCCCCAACTCATGCTCCCTTAAAGTATCATTATGTCCTCAAGAGGCCCAAGGGAGTTGACTCACACTAGGCTTTGCATTTATTTCAGGGCCTCTGAAGTCATGTGCTCAAGTCGAGTCTTTAGAGCCAAACCTTTTCATTCATCAGGTAAAAGGCCAAATCCAGTTGAACCAGTCAGATTATCATGGGTAATCCTCAACACGTATTAAACATGTATCTCTGGACTCTGTTCCAAGGAAGCCGGCGGGGGGGGGGGGGGGGGGGGGCGCGACTGCCTTTATGAACCTATCCACCAACTTTCACCTCCTGCTTCATATACTCCAGAGCCATCACCTCTGGAATGTTCTCCTTTATTCTCCCCCTGTCTGTATCAATCCTCTCTGCCTTTCAGGGTTAACGCTGACTTCCTCAAAGAAGCCTGCCCTGTCCGTTCATCACTCACAGCATTCGGTGCTCTTCCTTCCCAGCACTCACTACACTTCACAATGACCTTGTGGGGGGCAGCTGCTTTGTGTGTGTCTTCCCATTAGATGTCACACGCCACACGGGCAGACACGGTGCCTGCCCGTGTAGCACCAGGCCCCTCCTCGGGTAGTGCCCTGAACACACGTGCAGGTGCTCATCAGTGGTCATGGACTTGGACTCAATGAATCCAGTGATTCACAATCTATAGCCCAATAAACACGCCCAACGGAAAGAGGAACTGGGCATTCATGGCCCTGACAGGTCTGGAACCGGAGAGGATAGCTGCCAGAGGGGGGCTGCCATAGGCCTTTTAAATTAAAAAAAAAAAAAAAATCATGATAAAATATATTCTATCGTCTTTCAGCCAGGGAAACAACTACCATCTCGGTGCCTCGGAGCTCTGTTCTTTAAAAAACTGGTCCCAATCAAAGAGAGAGATCTGCTCCCACAGGAGATATATAGACTGGAGAGAGAGAACTTCGAAATCCAGGGTGGTTTACAGTGGTGGAAAGAGTAGAATGAAATAGATTTGGGCTCCCGATCCCTGTACTTATTTGCTAAACATCCTAAATTGCTGAATGCATCTGGACCTCAGTTTCTTCATCTGTAAAATGGGGAAGGGAAACAGTACTACAGAGACAGAATGAAATAATCAGCCGGGGCGTTCTCTGTAAGCAACGAAGTGTCCTACCAACACCAGTTATGCAAAGTGAAAAGCATTGCTGGGCTGAAACCCAGTCTTTGGCCAAAGAATCCCCTATGCTTTCCAAAAAGAACAAGAAACAAAGACTCAGGAGGGTAATCTTTTTGTTTACATGTCAGTGCCTCTCACGGAGAAGGATTTTATGCCATCACCATCACCCTTCTTATAAAACCGCTCAGCCACATGAGAAGAGCGATAACTCTTTTCAATAACTTGCCTCAATGGACCCAATGACCTATTACATCTCCTTCATTTTTTTCTCCTAATTTTGGAACAGGCTCTAATTTTCTAGAAACTCACAGAGTTCACAATTCAAAGACAGAAATGTCAGTGGTCCACACACAGTTTGCTCTGAGTCTTCACTCTGGGGGATAGCTTGTGGCATCTCCCCAGTCAGAGGCTTTCCACTGAGCTACAGTACCAAGAGCCCAGAGAAGTCCTGACTGTTCGGTAGGTCGGTATTCACAACAGATGGTGAACTCACCCTTGACAGTTTCTCCCGATGACAGAGCGACAGCAAGGCAGTGAACACACAGAGCCTGGCACCTCTGCGCTTCGGGAGCCCCTGAGATCAGGGCGGTGGGGTGAGACAGAGTGCAGGGAAGGGAGCTGGTGAGGATCCTGAGGACAAACTCCTGATTCCTGCATTTTTGCCTTGGACTCACCCACATACAGATGCAACGCTAAGATGAACAGCCAAGGAGTGAGAGTGAAGAAAGGGTCTGGGGCTGGTTGGGTGGGAAGGTGGGGTGCTCACACATGTATGGCAAGAGATGGGCCGGGCCGGGTAACAATGGCGTGATGGGCATTGGATGTGGCAGGGAAGACAAAAAAGAAGAAAAATGACAGAGTCCAGATGCCAATGTGACCAGTGCTGAGGTCATAATGCATCGCCTTCTGTATCAAACTGCTGAAATACCAGCTTGTTAGGGCTCCCTTAAGAAGAGAGCCACTCGCGGGGATCCCTGGGTGGCTCAGCAGCTTTAGCACCTGCTTTTGGCCCAGGGCCTGATCCTGGAGACCCGGGATCAAGTCCCACATCGGGCTCCCTGCCTAGAGCCTGCTTCTCCCTCTGCCTGCGTCTCTGCCTCTGTGTCTCATGAATAAATAAATAAAATCTTAAAAAGAAAAAAAAAAAAAGAGAGAGAGCCACTCGCTATGTTGAGAAAAGACAAGACTTGCAAAGGCAGCACCAAGCAACTGCTAAATGCTTAGACTTGAGTTTTTAAAGACATGAATTTGAATCTCTAATCTATCAGATATGAACTGTGTGACTTTAGAGTAATTCCTTAACCTGTCTCCTCATCTGTCCGACGGTACCGACACTTACAGGGTTTTTGCGGGTGTAAAACATGACCACATCTGTAAGGAGCTCTGCACGGTGCCAGCCACGTCAGGGTTTAGTAACTGTCACCTGCTGCTACAATTTCCTAAAAACAAGAGCCAATGAAAGTCTTTCCCCTTCAGGCTCCCACATTCTCTGGCGTTTGTGGTCCACAGCATTCATAAATATTCGGCTCTAAAATTCTACCAACTTGTCAACAGAAATACCTTTTTCTTTAAGTGAAAGTTTGATTATTCTTCCCCAGGCCCATTTTCGCCCAGGTTATTTGTCAGGCATGAGGGGGTGGGGGGGGGCAGGGAAGGCAGAGGAGTGAGAAGGTGAAGAGGAATGGGATTGCAGGTGCGCCTCGCAGCACACTCACCGAGTCTGGGTCTCGCTGCTGTTCGAGGAAGGCTGAGAACTCCACCAGGCGAAGTTTGGTTGTGCCAATGGAGCGGCCCTGCCAGGCGGGGACCGAGGGAGCTGGGGCTGATGCAGGCTCGAACCCTGAAAAGACCAAGCATCATCTTTAAAGCAGGTGCCTCCCCTTGGGGTCTGAGGCCAGCGCTGGGGCAGGGCTCTGCAAAAAGGATGCCCCCCTCCACCAGAGTCCAGGGGCAGAATGAAGTCAGGGGTGGTGGGATTCTGGCCAAGGACCCTCGAGGCACAATGCCATGTGGCTCCTCACAGGGACAACTCCTGCCCAGGTTAGGGGCTGGAGGACACTTCCTCCCGGGCAAGGGGACTGGCTGGGTGGGGTCAAGGCCGGCATGGCTGAAGGGCCTAAAGTGAATCCCACATGGATCCCCTGAAACGCTTCCTGCGTTTGCCCATCTCCTTCCTTAAGACTGTGGTCACCAGCACAGCAGAGCTCTCTCAGAAGGCTCGGTGGCCCTGGAACAGAGCGCAGCGTGTGAACGCATGTGCCCGTCTGGGACTCTTCCACTGAGTGGCTCCAATGCCCGGGGGTGGGGAGGGAGCAGGTGGGCCGGCCAGATCCCCATTTCCTAGTCGAGGCTTCTCTGGAAGCTCTTCATTAAGGAAAGGGTGTGAGGAACCGAAACCCACTTATGTAATGAAGCGTGAATAATACCCTATCGGCCCTCAAGATCTGAATTGTCCAATTCAGCCTGTTTATGATGAAGAAGGAACCACAGTAACTTCCCCTTCCAAGGGTGACCCAGGATCCCCGGTGAAAGTGATCGGGCTTCTTCCCTTTTTCTTTTTTTTCAGGTTTTTTTTTTTTAATTGAGATATAATTAGATATATCCAAACCTTTTTTTTTTTTCCTTTTTAAGTAAACTTTATGCCCCACGTGAGACTCGAATTCACACCCCCAAGATCAAGAGTGGCATGCTCTACGGACTGGGCCAGCCAGGTGCCCCTGGCTTCCCTTTTCTTTAAAAACCTCCTGGGAGGTGACTGGGGGGATTGAACATGTCTGTGACCCTTCTGAGCCCCAGGCTTAAGGAGGATAGGGGGGAGGAGGGGGTGCCCCAGCACTGCAGTTAAAGGGGATATGCCACTGTGGAACAAAGCGATGGGCCCAGCTGCCGGCTGCGCAGGACGTTCCTCCGAGTGGCTGGCCCTCGGACACTCACCTGGAATGGGGGCTGTGACCGCTGGCTGGATGGGGTAGGCCTGCTGCACAAAGGGCTTGACGCTGGGGAGGGAGGGGTGGAGTCAGAAATCGAGACTGTAGCAGTGGCTGCTCCCCGGGTCTGGCCTTGGCCTCCCAGGGCTAGGGGCCCAACCTGCACCCCACTCTCCAAAGGTTCCCTGCCTGCAGGTGGTCGCACAGCCCAGAAGAGCTCCGCCAGGACAGAGACAAGACGGTTGCTCTCTCTGATTGAGAGGGTCCAGCAAGGTGCTGGGGACCCAACCATCAAGCCTCACGCCCCTTCAAGTGGGACGAGCTGGAGAGACATCAGCCTGATTCCCAGAAGCTGTGACATCTATTGAAAGTCTCTTCTGGTCCCTGCGGTGGCCAAGGTCAGGGGTCACCATTCCCAGGCACAGTCTGGGACAGTCTTTGGGCTCTCCTTCTCTTGGCCCAACAGCTTAGGTTCTTTTGAAAGCAGGAGGGCAGGATTTCCTTTCTGCTTTTATCTCCAGACTACCCTCAGCTTCCAGTTTACGAGGCCTGCCTCCCTTGCCCTGAAAACACCAGCAGGATTGTCTACACTTCAGGTGGTGGAGAGTTGTTTACACCTCTCCTAGGCCTACGCGGTCTCTTTCTCGCTACTGGCCACAGAGGATAAAGGCAGATGACTTTGGGGAATCTCAGGTTAAATCTCTTTTCTCCTTCAAGCCCCAAGGCATTCTGGCCCCAGAGAAACACCACCCAGGCTCTGCTGTGACCAGACCCTTGTTGTCACTGCCAGCCCCTCCCCGGACTTACTCTTGTGAGGATCCTGGCTGCCCTGTTTGTATCATTCCTGGCCAGAACTGGAAGGCAAAATGCAAGAGGCATCAGGATTAGGAGTTCACATCTAAGCACCATTCAGGATGTCTACACGTTGCAAGCCCTGCTAAAGACGGTGGGCTCAGATCATCGATCAGCTCCAGAGTGACCCTCTCCAAATGCAGATGTGGTCACCGGTGTGCAACACGATAGCAACCTGCATCCCTGGCCTAGCAGCCCAGGGCTCCAGATAATGGCCCCGAGGGTAGGACGAGGCAGCAGCTCTTCTGTGTTCTCCTCACATCTTGTGAGCATATTACAGGGGCTCACACAGACTCCATCTGACTGCTCTAACCATGCACCTACCCATCCTTCTCCTCCTCCCTCCATTCTCAAATGCTCCCCATGTAATATTCTGCTTCCACAGCTCACAGCACCAAGGGCCCGGCCAGGAGAGGACAAAACTCTGAGTTAGAGGCCAGGAGCTCCAAGAAGCGATGCGGACGCGTCCTTTGCCGGGAGCTTCCCTGAGGCGTCTGGTGCGTCACCCCCTGCTGGAGAGGCAGCGAAGGGGGTCGGGAGGCCCTGGGTTTGAGTCCCGCCGGCACTATGCGTGGTGATCAAATCACCTCAACTCGCTTTGTTACTCAGTAAGATGGCAATATCAATTAGAGGCATCTAAAATGACTGCAAGGGCAGCCTGGGTGGCTCGGCGGTTTAGCGCCGCCTTCAGCCCGGGGTGTGGTCCTGGGGACCCGGGTCCCGCGTCAGGCTCCCTGCATGGAGCCTGCTTCTCCCTCTGCCTGTGTCTCTGCCTCTCTCTCTCTCTGTCTGTCATGAGTAAATAAATAAAATCTTAAAAATAAATAAATAAAATAAAATGACTGCAAAGATTAATGAGATTATAATGTTAAAACTTCTCAGCCCTCAGTAGGTATAAAAGAAAACAGTATTAGAATACTTTGTCCCTTTTGGGGTTAGTTCCCTGAAAGGGACCCTGAGGACACGTGAAAGGAGAGCAAGGGGCAGGAAAAAATAAATACATAAATAAAGCAGAAGCAGGTGGCGCCACAGAAGGGCACCAGCAAAGTGATACCTAGTTCCATGTCCGCAGGGCCCAAGGATCCTGGTCTCTTGCTTTCTCTTCCTTCTCTCCCAGCCCCTTCCCTCCCTACGCGCTTCCACCACTGTGCAGCCACATCATCGGCTGCCCACAGGTGCTCCTCCCCCGGCACGCCGGGCCGCCCCCGCGGGGCCACCACCCCTGGACGCCGTGACTTACCCCCGGCGCCCCTGGGAAGGCGGGGCGTGGAATCCCGGGCAGCCCCAGCTTGTTGTGAATGGCGGTGGCCGAGACGATCTGTGCGGACGACATGGCGGCCATGTGCTGCAGGGCCTTATCCTTGGCAGTCTGATCCTTGAAGGCGACAGGGACACACAGACTTACTACGTAACACACGGCTACCAGGCAGCTTCAACAGGCACAGCCACGAGCACATGGACTAAATACAGAGCCACAAAGGAGGCCGGAGAAGCAAACATGCACGGATAAATGAACACAGCCAGAAGGCTAAAACACATCAACCCACTGCAACTCTGAACCTCTACTGAGACGGCCCAGTGGCAAGGTTTTTTTTTTTTTTTTAAAAAAAAGGATGTTTTAATCCATTTTTCAACAGAATGGGAAGCTTCTGAGAAGAGCGGACAATGTTATTTATTTTTCCAGCTTCCAAAGGGAGATTTCTCCAATTACTTAACACACTCAGGGAAAGGGGGGCAAAAAAAGAAGGCCCTGCATTGAAGCATAGAGATGGGAAGAGGGAGAGGGGAGAGGGGTGGTTGTGGATCTGGGGTAGGACCAGCCACAGGGTATGGGCAGGACCCGTCTGTGTGCGCTGTCCCGGGGGCACAGTCCAGGAGCTGCTGGGGTCATGCGAGGCCCGCAGGCACCTGGTGGGGAGGCTCAGAAGCAGCAGGGCAGGTGGGGGGCCGTGACGGGGCCAAGCAGCATGCTGGCGGGGGCGCATGCTTTCTCAGGTACCCCCACCGTGGGTCTAAGGCTACACGGGTTCTCTCTATGGCCAAGGACACGGGGGATGCTACTGGGTAGGTGGCTTCTCCCTTTCCTACGTGGGTCTTTTCTAGAAAAGCCAAGGCTGGTAACACAAAGCTAGCCAAAAAGTCTGCCAAGCACAGCTAAAATACAGAATACTCAATTTGGTGAAGATACTTACCATGCTTGTTACCTGGATACAACAATAAACAATTTGTTAAAAGAATTGTGTAGAAAGGCAGGGATATTTTTCTTCTTCACTTAAAAAATATATATATGTTTACACACAAACACACAATATCAGGTACAGGGGAACACATAGGGCTATGGGTCTTTTTCACATTTTAGCAGGAATGTAGGACCCAGATAACGATCTAGAAAGGCAATCAGCAACCAGTCCACCCCTTTCAAAACCTACTCCCAACCCCTCTGAGCTGGTTCTGTGGCTTCCCCAGTGTAGACAGAGAATTGGTCAGACCCTTGGTACGTGTGCCTGATGGTACAGGCAGAGAGAACTTCATGCTTAATAGACATGTCACGGTTCCTGGGTGCTCACAGAAGGTCTATACAATCTATACCAGGCCCAGACTCCACCAGAACACGAACAAAATGGTGGCACCAAAATAAAGGGATGTTTACAGATTTACCCAAAGGTGAGGGACAAGCATGCTGAAGGGGCCAGAGGCTAGGCCAGAGGGAGAAATTAAAATTATAATGATAAAGCCAAACCTACAAAATAACTACTAGGGGCTTCTAAAAAAGATCAAACTAGGTTCTCTCAAGGTATAGACACCATTTGGCCCAGTAACTGCCAGGAACACCATGTGGATTTTCTTTCTAATTAATTAATTAATAATTAATTAATTTTTTTCCACGTGGACTTTAAAAAACCTTACATTACCCCTTGGAAAAGAGCCTAACACTTGCATAAAATTTTGAATTTTATACATTTCTCGGGCCCTCAACTGGAAAAGAAAGAGAAAGAACCTCATGTAACAGCTTTTTGGGGTTGTACATGGTCACTGGATCGTCTTGAAGGGCATGTGCTGCAGGTGAATGACACTGTGAGGGGCCAGTTAGCCTGCAGGATTCCCGGTCCCCAAAAGAATGGCTCCGGGACTAGCATGGTGCTTTGCTGCCCCTGCTCAGATGGCATTCTTTGAGTTGAGCCTCCACTTGCTAATCTGCTGCATGTTCTACCTAAGGCTAGCTCCCTCTGTAATTTTTTTTTTTTTTTTTAAAAGAGCCGAATCATTTCGGATACTGAGATGCCCAAAAAAGACTTATCTTGATGTCAGGGGAATCAACTGACTAGGTGTGCAAATGCCCTCAAGCCAAACTGAGCCTGACACACACACGTCTCAGCACCAGTCAATCCATTCCTAGCTGGTCCCGTGGCCCCACCTGCCACCTGCCCCATCATCCCCACAGAGGGTGACTTAGGCATATGAACAGAAAATGTTCCAGTCCTACTACGTCCAGTCCTACTACGTCCTTCTCTGTCAGGAGTGTCTTGACATCAATACAAGTGCCCTGGTGTGGTGTCTTTTTGGATCCGTCATCTGGTACGCCAGCCCCCAAGCCACCTAACCCCTAATGAGAGGTTATAAATGTCCTTGAGGTGACTTCTGAGCTCAAGTAATGTCACAAGTATAACCACAGGCGCCTTCCACCACAAGGAACAATCCTGACCACTTGTCCAGGGGCCAGCCAAGGGAGCCGGGACAGTGGCAGCCCAGACTCCTTGCTGGTCTGGCTGATGTAAAATTGAGGAGTAAGAGCCGCGGGCCTGGCTGTATTCCAAAAGTCCATCAGTGGCCCCTGTGTTCATGAGACACTAATGACAAGGGTGACTCGGCTCACCCAAACACAGTGTGTGTCTGTGAACACCCGGTGGAGGGAACTCAAGAATTGGAAGTCCAGGTGCGAATGGAAAGGAGTCGCCCACATCTCCATAGCCTGCTTTTATTCTACCAGAGGTGCTGGAGATGTTCCCCTTTGCTAGTCTGACTGAAAAGTTCTTGGGACACCTGGGTGGCTCAGTGGTTGAGCATCTGCCTTCAGCTCAGGTTGAGATCCCGGGGTCCCAGGATCGAGTCCCACGTCAGGCTGCCTGCAGGGAGCCTGCTTCTCCCTGTGCCTGTGTCTCTGCCTCTCTCTCTGTGTCTCTCATAAATAAATAAATAAATAAAAATCTTTGGAAAAGAACAAACAAAAAACAAGGAAATCAGTCAATGAGGAAAGGAGAAATGTCACCAGCTTTGCTGTTTAGGTCACACAGCATCAGGACAGGGCCATTTTCTTTTGCTAAATAAAGTAAGGTTTGACTCTTACTACCCTGCCATCCAGGAGGTTCCAAGGTTTGACTCCAGCCATCCAGGAGGTTCCCAAATGAAACAAATGCTCAAAGGCCAGAGAGCAAATCAATCTTTCCCACCTCACCAACTCGCTCCATCCCAGTAAAGGGGAGTCTGGAGATGTCGCTCCAAACCTGACTCTGCCTGACATTAATGGATTGCATTACCTTGAGCTCGTCACCTAACCCTCTTAATTTTCTTCATCACTGAAATGAAGACTCATACTTTATGCTCCAAAGCCCTTCTGGCTCTGTCACTATAAGCACGAGTTCCATTTATAATCAAATTCATCTTAAAACATAAAGCCAGAGAGTACTGGTGAAATGATAGCAAGATGTCAAAATTTGGGCAGCTCTTGGCTGCCTATCCTAACAGAGAGAAAGCCAAGCGTGGAGAGGAAATTTTATCTCAAGTAGAGGTTCTTTCTGCACTTGACCTAGCTATTTGAGAATAGGCAATTTTCTGCAAATGGACTGAAATGTCTATACCCGTGATTTCCTACCTTTTGAAGTGGAGACACTCTACCTTCTCATTTAATAACATCTCCTCCTTTATCTAAAATATATATTTAAAAATTAAAAGGATAAAAAATTTTTTTGTCTAAAAAAACAAAAGCAGCCCTGCAGATAATAAGCACTGCCAGTGATATCTCAAAATCGGAACCAAGAGCCTGGCTGTAGACCCAATTAATCTGAAATGGGAGTACGGAAGGATGCCAAGCTGAGAGATTTCAATGGAAGGGCCTCTAAATTGTCATTTTTCAGCCTAGAGATACATGCCTGGCTTTGAAGAAATTATAACTCTTAAGTGTCAGACCTGAGTAAATTGCTTCTCTGTGTCACTCTGGTCTAATATGCTGGACTTTTAGACATTCCACTCCACCCTTACCACTCACCCCAGAAAAAAGGAGGAAGTGGAAGGATTGTTAATCTACCCGAACGACTATGCTAAGGCAAATTCAAGAGTATCAGCAACATTTGTATACCAGAGTAATTTTATTCTCAGATGTTCTCACATCAACATTTCTGAAATGCGGGTGAGATTCACAAAGGTTGAGCACGCTGTTTTATCTTGAAAACTTGTTAAGTCAATACCGAGTTACCCCTGTGATGTCTTAGATTATGGGACATTCTCTCGGTGAGTGTCTCTACAAGAGCATGCATGAACAAGAACACTGTGTCCTAGCAAAAAGCCTGGACAGCTTCACAAGGATCCTCATTACTGGTTTGAAGTCCCTCCATCCCTAAGATTACAAAAGAATGAGGCCACAAAAAGCCAAATAAGTTTGGGGATGGAGAAAGAAAAGGCAAATCTCCCTTTACCAACAGAACCCTAACTCAAGCCCCTGACCTGAAATGTGGAAATAACTTATGCAGCAGTGGGGTGGGGGGTAGGGGGGTTGCTAAAACACATGGCCCGTCTGACCGAGGAATGATGGCAGATGAAACACTGCACCTAGGGATGCAGACCTCAGTACCCAGTTGACTTTCGTCCCTGACCCATTTCTGGCATGCTACGCTGTCAACAGCCTCACCACTGCAGCCAGCGGTGGTGAGGCAGGCTGGGTCACGCATAAGCTCCTCAGCCTGAAGCCTTTCAAACTGTTATTGTCACTTAGTAAACAGGCTTTCATATTCCATGACGCAGAGCAAGGCTGCGGCTATATCTCTGGGCCCCGCAGACTGCCTCCCTGTTACGGTTTAAATGTGCATGATGTTTGCCAAGTACCTACATGTAATATACGTGACAGGAAGGCAGCGGTATCACAAATGTGCTCTTCAAACTCCAGGACATCTTATGCCTCAGCCTCCAGACAGTGTGTGAGTCTTAGTCTCACTTCCCTCTTCTTCCTCGGCTTTTGATTATTTTGAGGAATCAATGAGCTCATAATTTTCCGCCACTAACCATCAACAAGTTTTAAAGATGACAAAGGTTCATGAGCTTGCGTGTACAATGTCATAGCTGTCAGATATGGAATTTTAATGAACAGCATGCTCCAGACCGTTGGTTCAGGGGCCATCGGTTTAAAAGGTAAAGCCTCTAAATCTATTTTATTCATAGGGAAGTCCACCAATACATCGGGGAAAATATGTAACGTTGAAAAAACACCCTGGATTCAAAAACTCTGGACAGCTCTTAAAATGTTTTCCCCAAATATACTTTTCCTCGCAGTACAAAAAATATAATACAAGAGAGGAAAGATAGCAATTTGCTTGCAAAATCACTTTTTCAGAAGAAGACAAAAACACAGAATACTCTTCTAAAAAGTCATTCTGCAGATGTTTCTCAGTCTTGCACTGTGTGGATTCACATGACCTCTGCAATTATTAGCGCTAGCCCCCAAGTAGATAAACATCACAAAACTCTATGATGGTTTGGGAGAAAAAGATGGAGGGCACTTGAATTTCTCTAGCCATGATCTCTAATTTGCTTATTAGTAGAGAAAGCAGGAGTAAATACAAAAGGGGGCTATTTCGGTCGGGCAGCGGCATTAGCGGAGGAGGGAAGGCACATTCATACTTCTCCTGACTTGCCGTGTAATGAGTAGCAATTAATTCATCCTATTGTATTTCCGAATGCCAAAGACTCCATTCACATCAAAGAAAAAATTTTCAAGGCTTTTACCATTGTTCATTTTTAAATGTACTTAGTTATATTTAGTATTTTATAATTGTCGATAGTGTTTCTTTTAATTCTGATGTGGGGCTTCGCATCATAAAAGATTGTAGATGAGGATCCAGGTGATCTGTAGGTATGACTCCACCAGGAAGCCTGGCATTTAGGTCAGCTGCAGCTAGGTCTGGGTGCTGGGGAAGAGGCACCCTCTGACCATGGCCCCCTTTCCCTTGGGAGGCGACAGCAAGAGACAAGAAGTCAACCTCCTCTGAGAAGCCAGAGGAACCCATGCTGGCAGCAGACTCAAGTTTGGCTCCAGACAGAGTATCAGCTCCCACCACTTATCTGCTCTGTTGAATTCAAACACTCGTGAAGAGGGGGCTCAGCTGAGGGAGACAATGCGGGAGCATCTTGAGTCAGGGAAATGAGCTCTCATCCTTGACCGGCATTCTTTGGGGAGGCAGCATGACCTCATGCAGGGAGTTTGGGCTTTGGTGCAGCTAGTCCTGGGATCGAATTCAGACTTGTGACCTTGGGAGAGTCCCCTGCCCATTCTAAGCTTCTGCCTCCTGATTTATAAAATGAGGACATGAACACCTACCTTCAGGACTGCTTTGGGAACTGCATTAAGTATTCCACAACACGGTGCCCGCAGCCTGGCTATTCAGTGAACTTGCAGTCTGATATGGGGCTCAGGTGACCCGAAAGGCTTAGGAGCCCTGGTCTTGATGACATAACCTTTTGGCACTATGATACTCTAGGGCACAGTCTACACTGGAGGCCCATTAACAATGGGAATTCTCTAGAAAGGCATAAAAATGGAGAACGAGGCGGTTTCTATTGCCCTTAAAAAGACCACCCAGGAGCAGCCCAGGTGGCTCAGCGGTTTAGCACCACTTTCAGCCCAGGGCCTGATCCTGGAGACCTGGGATCGAGTCCCACATCAGGCTCCCTGCATGGAGCCTGCTTCTCCCTCTGCTTGTGTCTCAGCCTCTCTCTCTCTCTCTCTCTCTCTCTCTCTCCCTGTGTCTCTCATAAATAAATATTTCTTTTTTTTAAAAAAAAAAGACCACCCAGGTATGGGTTGGTTCACACAGAAAGGTAAATGCACTCAGGCCTCCAGTTTACACTGTGAGTTCCGCATCACCACACCGTGGATGAGAGGTTCTAATTCCACCACGTCCAAGCACAGGAAATTACTGGTCTCCAATCTCAGCTTTAACTCTGTTACATTAAAAACAAGGTAGTGAAACTATCGCTGGGGAGAGAGGGCGCGTGTCACGAATGCCAAAGGAACCCTGTGAAGATCGGGAGATGACAGGAGAGGCGGTGTACCATTTCCCGAATGCCACACGGGCCAGGCCAAGTGTCCCAGTGCTGGCGCTGAAATCCAGGAGGTGGTCATTTCAGGCTTCCTAGGCCTGTGGAGCCCCGACGGCCAATGCCTGAAGGAGCAGGGGGATGCAGAGGGGCACAGGGAGCACCAGTGGGTGAAGTGCAGCAAGCCTCTCTGTGGACAGGCCCATTCCTGGCTGGAACCAGGGGTGATACAACCAGGATGGAGCAGTGTGGACGGCAGCAAGGCCCCAGCGAAGTTCCTGAACTCTTTGGGAGAATTAAATCCACAACTTGAACTTTAAGCTCTCTGCTTATTGGAAGGAATGGCAGATTGGAAAGAATGGCTTGTTCAGAAATCAAATCACAAAAGGCCAGCAGGGCGAGAATGAAGAAAACGGCCCCAGGGAGCACATGTAGCTCGTAAATTAGTCACCAACGACTGGACACAATCGGACAATCTCAGGCCTTTTTCTGCTCTACTGGCATGACGCAATGTCAGCAAGTACAGGCTTTTCTTCAGTGCGAGTCCCGGGCTTGACACGAACACGTCTACTGCCTAAGATGTATTCCTGCCGAGGTCAGGGCAGGATGAAGACCTCCTGTCCTCGGAGTACCGCCTGGAGTTGTGCACTCCCCAAAACACGCTCCGGACCACAAGGGGTCCAGTCCATCTTCTCAAGAGGAAGATGATGATGATGGTCCACGGGTGGCAGAAGTCTACAGGATGCCCTTCCGCTGCCGTGAGGACAGGGAGGCCTCTGGGCAGGACTGGACAGCTTCACAGGGGGACTGAACATATAGACCTAGAGACTCAGGGTAGATACTCTGAGTGGCGTGGAAAGGCTGCTTCATGTGTGGGCGATACTCTTGCATTCGTTCTACGTGCTGGGATAATAAATCCCTGGAGCTTAAAAAAAAATCAGTTGAGGGCCTCTTGGTCACTTAATGGTGAGTGAGATAATTCAGAGGACAGAGTAATTTCTCGAGTTGCAGCCCCGTGTTCAGACCATGCCACATGCTGCCTTCTCGGACAGGCCGCCGCGTCTCAGGGCTCAGTAGGAGATCGCAGGCAGGGGCTGACTGAGGGCCACGGAGCAGACACACACTGAACCTGCTCTGGGTGACGCCACTGCAGATGCAGCTGGTGACAGGAGGTCCAAGGGAGGAAAGCCCACATCCTTGGAATTCCTCACAGAGCCAGAGGTCACTTGCACACTGTACCTGCCTGGCTCCATCCTCTACCTGGCTACCTGAACCAGGCTTTCAAAGCCATGGATCACCCACAACCGACCTCGGGCCTGAAGAGCAGCGGGTCACAAAGGATTCTGCTGGGGCAGGGACCACAACAGGGCATGCCCGTCACCCGAGAAATGATTCCCTCAAAGCTAAGTCTATTGCAGACCAGCAGTTAGCACTCTGATTTGTCTCTTAAGGCACTTTAGTGAAGAAGACTGAAACAAAACAACTGAAGGGTGTGTGTTTAATGTCCCAAATTCTGGCACTCTGGCCACAAATGCCTTGCATTTCCTTGTCCATCTGAGCAGGCTCTTGAATCTCAACTGTGCTCTGCTGACCCCTTGACCCCCAGTTCTCCCTAGTGTCCCAGTTTCTCTGCTCCTGGTTCTTCATCTCCTTACATCACTCCTCAACCACTTCAACTGTTCCCTTCAATCTGCTTGCCCCCTGACATCCCTCCCTTATGTCATAGTCCATGTCCAAGGTCATCGCAAATGATGACATTCTCTTGAGAGTACCTTGGCTTAGGCTGCTATACACTGTAGAGAAAAAGTCTCATGTTGGTGGCACTGGCTTTAGCACACATTCAGAGTAAATGATGGACAAAAACCTGGACGCTGGACTCATTTTAGGACAAGGATAAAGGAGAAAATAGTTTTTGCTGGATTTATTTTCCTAGGGAAATAAGTGGCAAGGAAAGATACTGTCGATGGGAGTAGGAAGAAGAGGGACATCAGTGAGACAGGCTGGGGAAGGAGGTTGGGGAGAGGAAATTAGAAAAAGAAAGAATAATGTTTTGCCTCTTTTTAAAAAATCTTCCACTGGAAAAATAAAATAAAAGAAAATACGTCATAACGAAAACAATCATCCCTGGCTGGGATAAGCATAAACATTTTATAGTAATTCTCTGCACTTTTTAAAACTTTGTTATATTTAAAATTTAGCAACCCAAATTCATAGTTAACATTTTGATGCATGCCGTCAGCGAATTGCCATTACTACTTTACGAGGACCCAACCTTCCAAAACCTAGTTCAAGGCTACTATTGAAAAGTTTTGGTGTGTGCTTTTCAGACTGGGTAAGGACAGAAGTTTTAAACATAATTTGTTCTTTAAAAACACCAAGGAAGGAAGAGTACACGGCTGTCAGGAGTGGACTGGAGTGGGAGCCAGGTGTGGAGGGCAGGGAGGGCTGACCTGAGCCACAGACCTGGGCCCCAGGGGTGTGCAGCTGCCCCGGTCCCGGTGCTCACCTCCATCACTCAGACTATGGCAACCCCTGAATTAGGCTCCCTGTGTCCAGCTCTGCCTCCCTCCTGGCCATCCCCCTGAAAACAGGGAGAGCTTTCTGAAGCTTAAATATGAGCACTCCCTACTTGCACCCTATGGCCCAGAAGTGACCCTCACTCTCCCACAGATGATCCAGGACGTTCGCACTGGGCTCTTGCAGTCTCATTCCCATCCTGTGCTTCCAAGTAACGGTGTTCCTTATGATTCCCCGAGCACCCCCATGTCTCGGGGGGAGCAGTCTGCCTTCCTCAGTGCCCAGTTCTAATGGCACCCCCCAACCCCCCAATGGCAAGGCTTTCCTTAACTCTCCCACATGCAGAAATGCCCACTCTATTCATTCTACTGCAGAGGCCCCCTAGCTGTGGGACAATCTACTGGAAATCTAGTATTTCCCCAAACGTGGCCAAAAACAACAGAAAAGTTGAGTGGTCCTCAAGAACAGAGACTCTGCTTATTTGACTCTCTAGGTCCAACATCTACTCGAGGGTATAGAACACACTAGATTCTCAACTGAAAAGTTTGCTGGACCGAATTAATTTCTGTGTTTTATAAAGTTCAAACCTTTGTGGAAACCGTAAGCTTCCACTAAAACAAATTCTGTTATAAAAGTTAAAATTAGGGGCATCTGGGTGGCTCCGTCGGTTAAGCGTCTGGCTTTGGCTCAGGTCATGATCTCAGGGACCTGGGAATGAGCCGTGTCGGGCTCCCTGCTCAGCTTTCTCAAATAAATAAGTAAAATCTTTTTTTAAAAAGTTAAAATTGGGCAGCCCCGGTGGCTCAGCGGTTAAGCACCGCCTTCAGCCCAGGACGTGATCCTGGAGACCCGGGATCGAGTCCCACATCGGGCTCCCTGCGTGGAGCCTTCTTCTCCCTCTGCCTGTGTCTCTGCCTGTCTCTCATGAATAAATAAATAAAATCTTTAAAAAAATAAAAATAAAAATAAAATAAAAATAAAAAAGTTTAAATTGGGCAGCACCAGTGGCTCAGCGGTTTTAGCGCCGCCTTCAGCCCAGGACGTGATCCTGGAGACCCGGGATCGAGTCCCATGTCGGGCTCCCTGCATGGAGCCTGCTCCTCCTCTGCCTGTGTCTCTGCCTCTCTCTCTCTCTCTCATGAATAAATAAATAAAATCTTTTTAAAAAGAGTTAAAATTAAGTCCACACATTTCGTGGTGATCTGGCTCACAAACAAGTACTTTGAGAACCACTTCTGCAATTAGCAGAAGCATAAAGCTGATCTTTGGAACTTATTTTAACTTATTCAAGAGCCTGAATTTCATAGGTAGGTTGACTCATTTTCAACTATGACATGGAAATGACCACTCTCTTCATGAGTCTGTCTACCTGAGAGGAATATGGAAAGTAGACTGCATGCAGAACATAAGCCGTCCCGTAAAGGCTGCAAGGGCAGCTGAGAGGGAAGTCACCTCCTTTTTCCTTTGCCTAAAGCAGGGTGGTTTGCAAACCTTATTCAGTGAACAGCCAAAGAGGCCACTGAGAAGGATAAAAGAGCTTGGGCTTGAATTAAAACAGCATTTAGTCATTTAGGGGTGTCGGGTGGCGCAGTCGGTGAGGTGTCTGTCTCTTGGTTTTGGCTCAGGTCCTCATCTTGGGGTTGTGAGATCAAGCCCTGTGTCAGGCTCTGCGTTCAGCTTGGAGTCAGCTTCAGATTCTCTCTCCCTCTGCCCCTCCCACTCATGCTCTTTCCCTCTTATAAATCAATCTTTAAAAAGAAAAAAAGTGGGGACGCCTGGGTGGCTCAGTGGCTGAGCATCTGCCTTCGGCCCAGGGTGTGATCCTGGACACCCAGGATCAAGTCCCACATTGGGCTCCCTGCAGGGAGCCTGGTTCTCTCTCTGCCAGTGTCTCTGCCTCTCTCTCTCTCTCTCTCTGTCTCTCATGAATAAATAAATAAAATCTTAAAAAAAAAAAAAGAAAAAAAAGCATTTACTCATTTATATATTAAAGGTTTCAGCTAAGATTTCAATCTGAAACATGAGTTTGTGGCTTAAAAAAGGCTGGAAAGCAACCAGCCTCAAAAATTCTACTCCAGGGAAGGAGGAGGAAGGATTATAGGCAACACATGGAAGCCGCACCTGGCAGCAGCCCCAGGTATGAGCACACCACTTATTCAAACTCCCAGGA